TGGAGTTAGACCTAGAACTTTGTTCAAAAAGCATGCCAGAAAGATAAGTAACATCTGCCCAAAGAAAACAACAGATTTCTCCAAGAACAGGAGATAAGTACTGTTTCTCACTCATTCATATGAATGCTAGCTGTGGATGAAGTACTAGAGTTACAGACACATTAAAATAGTCCCTTAGCCTTGATTCTGCAGTTTGTATCACCAGTAGGCAGACAAGGGGAAAACAGTATAGATATTATAATTACAGTCTGGCCAAAATGTAAATGAAGATTATTAAAGGCATAATCCTATTTGTGGGAGAAGAAGGTACCACGAAAAAGGAATCTTTAAACTAGGGTTGAAGAGTAATTAGTTAAGCTGGGCAAAGGGTAAAGGGACAAGAGAAGGTGAAAGTAAGAAGGAAAGAGGGGCGCCTGGGTGGCTCAGTCGGTTAAGCGTCCGACTTCGGCTTAGGTCATGATCTCACGGTTGGTGGGTTGAAGCCCCCACGTTGGGCTCTATGCTGACAGCTCAGAGCCTGGAGCCTGCTTCAGATTCTGTGTCTCCCTCTCTCTCTGTCCCTTCCCTCTCAAACACTCTCTCTTTCAAAAATAAATAAATATTTTTTAAAAAAAAAGGCAGGAAAGAGTCTGCAGACAGAACTGGAAATCCGTGGCCAGCACGTACAGTGAACTGTGGTACTACGCTAACTACCCAATGCATTTTTCAAAGATGCTGATTCTGATTAAAGACAGATCCTTTTTGGGGCGCCTGGGTGGCTCAGTTGGTTAAGCGCCCGGCCTTGGCTCAGGTCATGATCTCGCGGTTTGTGAGTGCAGGCCCCACGTAGGGTTCTGTGCTGACAGCATAGAGCCGCTTCAGATCCTCTGTCCCCCTCTCTCTGCCTCTCCTCCCCATGCACACTCCTTTCTCTCAAAAATACACCAATATTAAAAAAAAAAAAACAGCCCTCTGTGGGCTCATTTTCTGTTGATTCCACTGTGTTCAGCATCCCACTTTCCCCACGCGTCTGCCCACACTGCAGTGGAAACGGAGAGTCACTGCTTGCCCAGGTAGCCTTCCAGCGCGCGGCAGAGACGTGGGGCAGAAGGACCCTGAAGTTAACTGGCACGAATGACAAAGTGAAAACTGCCCAACAAAACTTTCCACTCAATTCAGGATTTTTAAGTATATTTGAAAGCCATTTCTTAACCGCTTTCACGGTGGCTGACAAATGATTTAAAAATCAAAATAAAGGAATTCTGGAGTTTGTTAAAGCGGGGGACAGATGAGAATTCAAGATTCTTCACCATCATTAGCCATCAGGGAAGTGTAAATGAAAACCACGACAAGAATCTACCAGATACCTACTACAATGGCTACAAATCTGAAATTAAAAAACCCCTGACAACACCAAGTGCTCCGAGGGGCAAGGCACCAGCAACTTTCACAAACTGCTGGTGGGAATGCAAACTAGCACAGCCGCTTTGCACAAACAACTTGGCAGTTTCTTATAAAGTTAGAAATGCACCTAACACACGATCCAGCAATCTCACTCCTACATATTTACCCAAATGAAATGAAAACTCAGGTTTACACAAAAGCCTGCACATAAGTGTTGACAGTGGCTATATCCCTGATTGCTAAAACCGGCAACGACCCAGATGCCCTTCCACTGAAAAGTGGGTAAGCAAACTGTGGCTGGCTCAGCCACACACTCGGCAAGGGAAGGACTGATGTACCAGTATAGGCAACAGGGACGAATCTCAAATGTCTTATACGAAGTGAGGGCTGCCAGAATCAGAAGGCTACGTACGATGATTCTGTGCCTATGCCATTCTAGAAAGAGCTAAACTAGAGAGACAGATGACCAACTAGTGATTGCCAGGGGGCTGGAGATGGGGAAGAACTGTCTACAAGGGTATGAAGGAATTGGGGTGGGGCTGGGGGATGGAACAGTTGCTTCACTCATCCTTGAACTATGGCGGTGCTAGGGCACCGACCTCCCACTCCCCCACCCCCCTGCCGCCACACAGCTGAAAATCCTGTATCACTTTTGACGTCCCCAAAACTTAATTATTAAAAGCCTGCTGTTGCCTGAAAGCCTTACCAAGGACATAAACAGTTAACAAATATCTCGTATGCTGTATGTATGATATGCTATATTCTTATAATAAAGTAAACTAGAGAAAAGAAAACGTTATTAAGAAAATCATAAGAGGGGGAAAAAAAAGAAAAAGGAAAATCACAAGAGGGCACCTGAGTGGCTCAGTGGATTAAATGTCTGACTTCGGCTCAGGTCATGATGTCACGGTTTGTGAGTTCGAGCCCTGCATCGGGCTCCACACTAGTGGCACGCAGCCTGCTTGGGATTTTCTCTCTTTTCCCTCTGCCCCTCCCCAGCTCATGCTTTCTCTGTCTCTCAAATAAACACACCTGAGAGAGAGGGAGGGAGGGAGAGGGAGAGGGAGGGAGACAGAGACAGAGAGAGACAGGGAGGGAGAGAGAGAGAAAGCAAGCAAGCCCGAAGAGAAAGTGCACTTACAGTACTGTTCTGCAGTTATAAAAACTCTCTGCACATAAAGTACACCGTGTGGGTCAAACCTGTGTCATTCAAAGGCCACTTGTATACTGACTGTGGTGGTGGGTACATGACTATTCACATCTGTCAAAACTATAGGTCCGCACACTACAAATGATCAATTTTACTACATGTAAAAATCACCTAATTTTAAAAAGTAAAGAAAAAAAATTGAATGAGGGGTCCTGGCAACAGAGAGATGAGACTGAAAAATTACAAAGGAGTCAGTCACATCACGAAGGACCCTGCTAAGAAGTTTCAGATTTTGTTCTCAAAGCAACAGGTGCACCAAACAATCTCTCGAAGGGGACAGGCACAATCGTGCCTGAAAGAACACTGCCAACAGTCACCACCTGAAGTAAGATGGATGAACCAACCACCTCGGTAATTTAGGGGACAAATGAGCAAAGCCGACTTAAGGGAGAGGCCACAGAGATGGACAGAGTAAGTGAAAGACTGGAAGCTCTCAAGTTTCCAGCACTAGTGAAACCTCTGACCAAGCGACCCTGGAATGCGTGTGGGACCCTCAGATGCAAACACCGGGTCAGATGTATGGGTCTGGGGCTCAAGGGAAAAACACGAGGTGCAGTTTAGAGTTGAGATGCATCAGGGCACCTGCAGCCATGAAAATATACGGTCAAGATCACACAAAGACAGACTATGGAGAGTAAAAAGGTAAAGAGAACCCTGGGAATCATCGTGAGCGACACCAGCATTAATGAGGCTGATGGTATAATTTAAGTAAAAAAAGAACTGGCTTATTGAGTATGCAGCAGCAGAGTAAAAAACGATTATAACCCGGTGCTTATTTCAGTCTGGGGTCTCTCACCCACTCTATGCTTGGCTTCTCTGATTTTATCTTTGCCTTGATCAACCTGGGAAAACTAGGGGGTTAAATAAGAAGTTACCACTGAATTCCAAGGTTTCACTTTCCATATTGCTGACGGTAAAAATGTTCCACAAATACAGAGGGATAATCTATTAAATAGACTTGTCAGTTAAACACAGAAGAAGCGCTAAGAGAGGTTAAAGGATTCACTTCAAATACAGGTCAACTTACTCAATAACTCAACTGAGTCAACTCACCCAGTAAGTTTATCTTGGTAGTTGGACAAACGACTCTGGATGCTTTAAAGGCTCTCTGGGCCCCTCCCCCACTCGTGCTTTTTCTCTCTCAAAATAAATAAATACACTTAAAAAAAAACTGGGGAGTGCCTGGGTGGCTAAATAAGTTTAGAGTCTGACGTGGCACAAGTCACGATCTTGTAGTTCGTGAGTTCAAGTCCCGCATTAGGCTCTGTGCTGACAGCTCAGAGCCTGGAGCCTGCTTGGGATTCTGTGTTTCCCTCTCTCTGCCCCTCCCCTGGCTTGTGCTCTCTGTCTCTCTCTCAAAAATAAATAAACATTAAAAAAAAATTTTTTTTTAAAGGGACCTCTGGTACCACAATGAAGTTATCAGAGAGTACCAGAGGATAGGTCCAATGATTCAAGGTAATTAGTTCTTAACTAGAGATACTCACCAGAATTCCCTGCGAAGCTTTCTCAGAATGCCCATCTTGCCTAGGCCCTGCTTCTGAGAAGAGTGACTGAGGAACTTTTAGGATAAGGCCCAAACTACTAGTTTCAATAGTCCCGTTAAGTGATTCTGAGGTGTACACACACACACACACACACACACACACACACACACACACACTACTAGTTTCAATAGTCCCGTTAAGTGATTCTGAGGTGCACACACACACACACACACACACACACACACACACTACACAGTTGAAAAGCAGTGCGATAAAAGCTGGCCCCAGAATCAGGATAAGGCCCAAACTACTATGTTTCAATAGTCCCGTTAAGTGATTCTGAGGTGTGTATACACAACACACACACACCACAGTTGAAAAGCAGTGCGATAAAAGCTGGCCCCAGAATCTACAGGGAGCTCTCATCTGGAAGCCACTACACCTCATCTTAATCCCTGCCAATCACCTCCAGCTGAGAACATGGGAACATACACTTCCCTGATCTAAGCCCAAAAGTTAAAGTCCTAACCCCCATAAAATACCTATGAACCACCATTTGGCCCTGGTTAACTAGCTCTGAGAAGAGTTAAATTCTCAGCAGAATTCAGACAAAGGCAGTGTAAGACAAGGCATGGAAAATGAGTCAGTGTCTCTCTGTTGTTTAATTCCAATTCTCCAACTTAATGACAAACCCACCAGAGAAACTCTGGTATTTTACCAACTCAGGTATTAGCTTCAACCAGTATTTACGTAGAACTAGAGCTACATCTAACCTGCTACAGCAGAGCCTTCCGGTCCTACTTCACCAATTGCCAAAACTTCCAAGATTCCTGTTTTCCAATTACATCATAATTACAATAAATCAAGACAAAAATAATTATGCAAGAACGGCAATCTGTCCCACCAAAATTTACACTTACCCATCTCTTCCCTTACTGACAATTTTTACTTCAAAATAATAAATCCCACAGGCTGCTGGTATCGGATGCGTGGCACGAACGGACGCTGCGTCTTTGGGGGTTTTACCGTGACCTGCATATGACACAGGGAAGGGAAAAAAATCAAATGAGATATTCAACAAAAATTTTAAGCAATTCAGCAAACATACAGTTTTTAGAACGATATATACATTTTTGTTCTCATCAGTACATATAAAGGCTTAATGAAACATTTATTATCACAAATCAGTACGCAAAACAGCCCAAGTTAGCCATGGGACTTTTCACACTATTACTAGATTTAACACACTTTAAGAATCTGAACACATTGAACCTACCAAACTAAATATTTTATGGTAGACTATATTTTTAAGAGAAAAAAAAAGGCTGCATTTGAAAAAGATGAAATTTTATTAGATCCAAATTGCATATAATTTATACTATTGCCACTCTTTGGTCAAATGGTCTATTTTTTAAACCAGAAGCATCTATATCATAGAGTATTATTATTATTTATTTATATTTTTTAAATGTTTCTTTCTGAGAGACAGAGACAGAGACAGAGACAGAGAGAGAGAGAGCGCGCATGAGCAGGAGAGGGGCAGAGAGAGAGGGAGACACAGAATCAGAAGCAGGCTCCAGCTTCTGATTCTGACAGCTCAGAGCCCGACACGGGGCTCAAACTCACAGACTGCAAGATCGTGACCTGGGCTGAAGCCAGACACTTAACCAACTGAGCTACCCAGGCACCCCTCATAGAGAATTATTTTTCAGTGAAATTTTATATAATTAGACTGGACTGGCAAAGTAGCTTTCTTATTTTAAGAATTTACAAGTTTGGGGCACCTGTGTGGCTCTCCTGATTTCGGCTCAGGTCATGATCTCATGGTTCATGAGATTGAGCCCAGTGTGGGGCTCCACAGTGAGCATATAGTGTGCTTGGGATTTTCTCTCTGTCCACTTCATGTGTGCGCACACGCGTTCTCTCTCTCTCTCTCTCCTTCTCTCTACATAAACATTAAAAAAAAAAAAAAGAATTTACAGGTTTGTTCTTTGACATACTCTTATCATTAATTCTATACAAAGACTGATCCATAAAATGTCTTTGGTCAGTTACAGCCTCCTGAGAAATATATCTCATCTCTAGTTGTATTTTCTTTCTCTCTTTTTAAAGAAAGGAATAAAACACCACACCACTGCTGAAATCTTTAGGGAATCTGTTAGACAATGGCTTTTAAACTTTTTAAGATAGCAATTCCTCAATTCTACTCTGGGAGGACTTCCTTCCCTCACAATCACCTCCCCTGTCCCTTCCCCAAGACAAATTAGCTTAAAAGCTAGCATCTGAGCAAAATCAGCTAAGCAAGAAAAGATATGCCCATAAAATCACAAAGAATAAAAACAGAAGCTGAAGTAGCATGTCAGAAAGTACTCAACAATGAGACAAGTCCCCACAATTGCCAAAAGGGCTGTCTGAGAAACAATGCTCTAAATTATCATTCGGTGTTGAATATGTTTCCCCCACTACAAACTTAGGTCATTAATCCTTTAGTCATCCTATAACACGACCTTCACGGGAAGAAAAATTCCCATTCTCAAATTTACCATGTTTCAAAACTAACGTTCTTCTTCCAAATAAAAAAACTGCATCCTAGCATTACAATAAGCCTCACACACCAATGAGATCTCTCCCCTTACCATACATTTATCAAATTACATCATTAAACAGTTACGTTTACACTTGCAATGCAAATTAGCAACCGTTCACATGGCCCAAAAGAAACTGAGTGATCTCAGACCCTCCTTTCTATGAAAACCTGGGTCCATAGACGTCTTAAGTATGTATGTTAATGGGCAAAAGTGGTGACCGCTGAGAGGTGATAAAATTGGTGAGGAAGATAAAAATGGAAGCAGCAATATGAAGATGTCCCTGAAAGTGCTTTACACAGAGGCATTTAATAAATTATCGTTTCAGCAAAACTTTTTTTTTTTCCCCCAGTAAAAATGTGTTCAAATCATTGAGTTGCCTGGGAAATGGCAGGGTAAACTAAATGAGTTTTTAAAATTCAGACAGCTAAAAAACAAATCTAAAGAAAACCCTGTTAACCCTAGAGTCCTAAATCAACTTTTAGTTGTAGTTTTGGTTTTCTGGAAGAGAAGCAACCAAAACTTTCAGGGATAAAGTAGTCTCAAGGTACATTTAATAATAATAATAATCAGGGTGGCCCAAGGTACATTTAATAATAATAATAATAATCAGGGTGACTGGAGGGCTCAGTCGGTTAAGCGTCACACTCTTGGCTCAGGTCATGATCTCACAGTCGGGGAGTTCGAGCCCCGTGTCAGGCTCTGTACTGACACCGTGGAGCCTGCTTGGGATCCTCTCTCTCCCTCTCTCTCTCTGCCCCTCCCCTGCTCCTGCTCTCTCTCAAAATAAATTTTAAAAATGATGTTGATGAAGGGGCACCTGGGTGACAGTAGGTTGGGCGTCCGACTCTTGATTTTGGCTCGGGTCATGATCTCAGTTTGTGAGTTTGAACCCCGCATCGGGCTCTGTGCTGACAGAGGCATGGAGCCTGCTTGGGATTCTGTCTCCCTCTCTCTCTACCTCTCCTCCCCTTGCGCTCTCGCTCTCGCTCTCTCACTCTGTCTCTCTCTCTCTCAAAATTAAATAAAAATTTAAAAAAATGATGATGATGAAGATAAATGACAAGTCAACATACATTTAATGTTAGGTGAAAGGCCCTTCTCAAAGAGTACTATAGCTGTTCACTCGTTTAGTGTTCAAAACCACCTATGAAGTAGGTACTATTTACTATCATTTCACAGTTGAGGAAATTAAGGAAAGATGATGAAACTCGCCCAAGATCAAACTGCTATGTGAGAATTCCAAACCAGGATTTGTGCTGGGATTTACATTCAAAAAGTCTGATCCAGTGTGAGCTCTGAACCCCACAGAAAGGGTTCAACGAGCATTCTGGGATCACTTCACTTGTATTCCCAGCTCCTATTCTTGCTACTTTTATGGGAAAAGAGAAAGAAAATTAGTATTGGAGGGCAAACAATCTCTCAAAGAATTAGGCACTTCTGTATAGATTTCCTCATTCAACATCTGTGAAATGGGTAATTTAACCTCACTTTAAAAAATGGAGAAACTCTGGGGCACCTGGGTGGCTCAGTCAGTTGAGCCCCCGATGCCTGATCTCAGCTCAAGTCATGGTCTCACGGTTTGTGAGATCCAGCCCCACACTTGGGCTCATGCTGACAGCACGAAGCCTGCTTGGGATTCTCTCTCTCCTCTCTCAGCCCCCACCCCAAATCAATAAATACACCTAAATAAATTAAAATGGAGAAACTCTTACAGATGTTATATAACTTGCCCCGAATTAGTAGAATCATGGTTAAATCCATATGTGAATTAAAATGCCCTACGTTTTCCCCCTTAAACAAAAAAAGCTGTAAACAACACAATCATCAATCTTCAAGGTTCGATTATGTTCTATTTAGACACTGTAGAAAAATTCTGTGAATGTTAAAAGGATTTGTCTCATTTCTAAAATAAATTAAACTTAACGGTAAAGGCCTAGGAAAAAGTTTAAATGTCAGATTAAAGGAGACATGCTACCTCCTAGGTAAGGCCTGCAGTCTTACTACTTCTAATAACACTCGTCACCAGGAAGCTTATGACCTCAAATCCTGTGGTGATCACAAAACACTACCTCACACTACCAAAGGACACACTTTCAAACCCAGAAAGTCTTCAATGTGAAGTTTTTTCTATAGGATTCAGAGAAAAAGTACATTTACTGCTTCAAAACTCTTAAGGTTAGCGCTTTCATTTCACAACCTGTTGATTCCTTTTTAACTGCAAGGAAAAGGTTTTGAATAAAGCCCACCTCCCACTCCCCTCCACTCTCCAACGTGCAGTCAACTGCCTTTCTGGAAACAAATGTCTTCCTAGGGCCGCTATGCCCCCATGCTGTAACTTTCCTTCCTAAGAGCCTCCTATATGCCCAGGAAAAAGATTAAGAGCCTGAAAACTGTCCATCTGGCCCGCCCCCAGCACTTTGCATCACGTACCTGCACCGGCCACACTGGCCTGACCAGTCTTCACCCAAACCATTCCCCTCACGGGAAAGCTCCCCCTCCTCCTCACCTAGCTACGTGCAGCTCATCCCTTAGCTCTCAGGTTAAGTTTTCCTTCCTCGACTACTCTTCCTCTAGCCTCTGACTTGGTCTAACCTCCTCCTACTATGCCTCAGCACATGCTCATCCCATCCATTAACACGCTTAACACTCACATTTTCACTCCTGGGCCTCTTCCACTGACCTCCTACTCAGGAGCCAGGCGCTCAGTTCTGACATCACCTGAAACTACGTGGCCTCAAAAACGGTCAATTCTAGTGAAGTGAGTTTGGCTCCAAAACACATTTCTTGAATACAAATTAGCTCACGTGTACTTGATAAATACGGGAATGTCGTCGGCATAATAAAGAAGTCACTTAGTTCACAACACAGCTTTCCCCAGTACGTTAATGAGTTGAAGAGAAAAACCGAGCAAGACACAAAAAACTCTTAAGTCAAAACACCCGGGGCACCGACACAAGTGCCCTCCTACAGTGTCCAGCGTTTGGTGGCCTTGGGAACAGCTACGCCTGCCACTGCATTACGCCGTCTGGGGAAAGATTCAAGCACAACACTGATCAGCAAGTCCGAAGCTATTCCCTCTGTGTTTATATCAGGATGGACTTCCGCGTCCCTTGCATATTTACTTTATACTCTGTGATAATCCACTACTACTTTTTTTTGCTACCCAAACTGCCCAGCCACTGGGAGCTTTTTCACCCAGCTCCCCTGACATATCTCCAGGATGCGGTTTCTTGCTGTTTGCTGCTTCCTGGCCCTAGAAGCTGCTGGGGGCTCATCTTGCCCCCTACTCGCTGCCCTAGCCCCAGAATCAGCCATTCCTCCAAGGAGCCCTGGGGCTCCTTTTACTGGCAAATGGCATTAGAACCCAAGATCTGGCTACCAGGTATGCTCCTCGTTCCCGGGGTGTCACTGCTTTTAGGCTTGCTCACTGACAAGAGGGAGGAA